TGCCTCTATTTGAAATCAGCAGTAATATCAGCTGCACGGTAAATTAATCTCTTAGATATATTTTCCAGGCTCTGACGAATCATATGCTTTAAATAGATCTGAATATGATCTGTGTATTAGACAGTAAAATTGTATTCAAGTGACATTAATAGATCTTCTCTATCCACTGACACAGAAGACATAAAATCAATACAATTTCCATCATTATCTCCAGAATTATTTTTGAGAACCATGCTAAGGTCAAGAAGATATCTTAGTGTTCTGCATGCTTGGTAGGATGTGTATTAAATGTTTATAAGAAGACCAATCTGTCCATTTGATTAGATTATGAGTTATATGTTTTTCTCTTGGAATTGATTGTGTGGGTGCCATTCTGGAACACCCTCTGTAATCTCCTTACAGGGAAGAATGATTAAAGGAAATATTAGAACTATCATATTCATCCAGTTTTCTCCTATCCTTTGTAGATTAATTTTCCATTCTTTCCTCCCTGGACTTATAAATATCTACTTTAAAAAATCGGATACTAGAACTGAAATCCCAGTTGAATTAATCTCTCGTAGGTGCTGGAATAGTCTTATCATGGGAAATACTCTCCATTTGCATATATGTGTTCAATTGATATTTCATTTTACACACAAGTGCATGTGCACACACACCACATTAAAAATACAGAGACAATATTTTGAGTGATATAAGAACAAGGGTACAGAGAAAATGTTGTATAATAGCAATGGCTTAAAATTGGTTCACATTATTAATATATTACAAAGCATTCTAACTCACATTAGTCACTCATCAAGCATTGGGAACACACAGTACATGCCACTTTGTACATGCACTAAGCAACATGAAATGAACACCCCTCCCAAAGGAAACTTCATTACCTCTCTCTCTATTTCCCTCAATCCAGAGAGTAAGTGCCAGAGACATCATGGAAACTAACTTTTCCAAAGAAGCATGTGTCTCTTGACATGGAAGGACAACAAGGAAGGTCCTTACAAAATCTATTCTTTAAAATGTAAAAGGAAACTCTTTAAGTCACTTTATAATATTTAAAAAATAAACATCATGGGGAGAAATATTAAATTTCTGGTTTGAGCTTATCTAAGAAGTACTTAAATAAAACACATTTTAAAATACAAGTACTATTTAGAGTAACTCTAAAACAGCCAAATTTCACTTTTCTAAAATTCAATCACAGGTTCATTAATTTTGTTTTGTTTTCTATCTGAAACCATCACTTCCTACTTTAAAAACCTAAAGAAAAGTACAAAACATTTCTGGAAGAAGCAATTTTTGATGATATTTATCTGGGTGAAATCTTTTGATGGTTAAATGATGCATAAATTCATTACTCTCTAGTATCTTAATTCTTTCCATCATCCTCAATTTCTGTTATTAAGAAAATATAGGTACATAGTAACAAGATTTTTTCATATTTTGTAAAATATAATCAAATAGTATATTGATTGCTGTGTTCATGTAAAATTGGATATTACTATTTTAAAAAGAAACTTTCCATTTCCAATTTTTTAGTCATGTTGCACTTTGATTTTTCAAAACCTGTATATATGTTGAAATCTCTCATTTTCAAAAATGTTATATTTAAATTTTCAAGCATTGATTTACTTATTTGACCTTTTTAATTTTGAATAACGTTAGAGACAATAGGGTATGAAAAAAGTAACTGAAGTATTTTAGGATAAATATACTTGTGGCACATAGACCATGATGAAAATGATATTCTTTTTGATATATATATGATCATTGATTTTGCTTGTAGCCCTTTTAATAATATTAGGTAAATGAAAAACATTTAAATGAAATCTAATTTTGATTTTATAATAGTCCATAGATTAATTTATCTTAAATCTTTAAAGTCAGAGTGAATTTAATACCTTTTGCAGTTCGCTGACATTAGCTATGAATAGACATGTATAGGATCTAGACCCAATGAACCAATAAATATATCTGCAATGGCAGCGTCCATATCTCACACATTTTTACACTACCCTTTCGTGAAGATCTACTAGGACTGTGGCTCGCATATAGTAGGCACTTAATAAATTTCGAATGAGTTATTACCAGTTTTAAGCTCCATTAATAAAAGTTAGACCTCTGGGATAGAACCATAGTTAATTTTACATTAACTGACTTTTACTCACCATCTTCCAAGGTCTAATTAGTCCTCTATTTCCCTAAATCAGTGCTTATGAAATTAGCGAGTTAATTAAACACACCCAATATTTGATCCACAGGAAAAAATAAAATAAAAAAGCTGTGACTTGCCAAGCAGTAATACTTAGTATCCTCATTAGCTTCCAGTGTCTCATTTGACAACTTTGTGGTTCTTACCTTAAAACAGTTGGAAAACCTTTTCCCCCTAACATATTATTACTCCGTAAAGGAACACTAATTAAATATATGTTTGTATATATATATATATATATATGCATATGTATATTAGAGAATAGAACTATAATAGCACACAAGATTAAAATTTGATCCCCAGGTCTTTAGATGAAGACATCCCAGACTTATCAATATCTTGGAAATGAGTTTTCTATTTCTTTAACTGAAGTAGTGCAAGAACTTCAAATTACCATAAATCCAATCTTGCTTGTTGATGATATCAAGTTTCTTTAAAGTACTTTCTGTTAGGTTTGTTAAGAGTTGCTTCATTTTCTTTTGTGGTATCAATCTAATTATAACCAAGAAAAAGTTAACCAATGTCAATACACTAGATTGTGTGAGTAGAATGCTTAAATTTTAAGTTATTCTCTCTTACTTAAAAAGCATTTTGAGTTCCTTAATCTTCCCCTCTAACCAATGACATCTGATTTTCTCCTATCGAAATTCACATTGTAATCAATAATCTCCCTAAATCTAAGGGGTGCTGTACCCAAATAGCTTTATGTCTGAGTAATATATGGATGTGCTTGTGGGCTTGTTTTTGCATCCTCCCACAAAGTAGCTGGGAGAGTGAAACACTTCATTAAAAACTCATTTGTCAGGATGCTGGAGGAAAAGGAAAACCCTCCACAGGCTATCTACCTAATTTCCAGCCAATACAGGATTGCTCCCAACAGGAATCATTTATTGCTTTACTGGCCTAAGTGATGGGGCAGTTAGCATTTCTTTTGGCTGACTGCTTTGCAATCTAGCTGCTTTCAGATGTCAGAAAAATCATCTTAATATTCATGCAGAACTTCTGTCTCACTTCATTTCTTCTAGCATTGATCTTACATTGTCCCCTGAGCAAAGCTTATCCTCTTCCCAATGAAATCCCAAATGTGTCAGTCGCACAAGCAAGGTACTTGGAAAAAGGATTAGGTTTGTTCATATTTTAGTCAACCCACCAACATTTTCATAATTTCTTGTTATTTTAAATGTTCCTGTCACTACTCTCCCCCACCCCACCTACACACTCACCCATAGAAACCACCTTAATTCTCTCTGTCCTTCCTTACCTACCCACAGTCACTGGTCAGCAATGTGCCAGCTTATGCTGAAAACAGAAAATGATGAGATTAGATCAATTTATTCATTGCTTGTTGAAAATTTGACATCTCAACTTCAGCTCTGACTTGATATCAAAACTTTTTTTTTGATTGGGAAGCTATAGTCTGTTAACAAGGTGTTAGTTATTCCTTTACAACTATTTTGCAAATAAAATGATGAGATTTGTGAAAAGTATGCAAAAGACTTTCCCAAGAGCAGGATTTCTTCTTCCTAAAGAAAACTAAAATGGTTACACATGAGGAACAGTTGTGTAGGTATAGCTGACTGTCTCAATTGCTTTCCTCTACATCTCTAACTCTTTGAAACAATTAAATAGAAAATCAGTTGTATTTGTATATGTGTTTATATATCACTTCAACTCCCACATTTTTCTACAAATGGCCTACCTCATAGATATTCTGAAATTCACAATCGAATCAAATAATTACAGTTCTATAAATATACCAGTAGAAAAAGGGATTACCTGGGATGAAACACCATTAACTAACTTTGGACAATAGTATCATTATTTCTAGTAAATTTCTGGCTCAAGTCTCTAAAATATGACTTTTACAATAGCTGGACACCTGATGGAAAATACTTTTCCCAATAATGTGATACTAAAAATGTTTTCTCCCTTTCCTGGCGTGTTTGTAAGTAATATCCAGACACTGTGTGTTGAGACAAACGCTCCACTCTTGACCCCTTATCATTAATTCTCTAACCCCCAGGCACCTACTGGGCATCTAACGCAGACACTATACAAAGTCCAGGTGTAAGATAAAAGGTGCTGTCCATGCAGAATGATAATTCACCACAAGGAAAGTTACTGAGCAGCAGTGCAGGCGGGACCTCTCAGGGAGTGTCCTGCGCCCTTTTCTGAGATATTTAGGAGAGCAGCATTTAAACTATTGTTGCTGGGCCTCCCTGGTGGCACAAGGGGTTAAGTCTCAGCACTTAACTCAGCCACTGAAGCAAGAGTTCTATCCCCAGCCAGTGAGCTGACCCACATGGTGCAGCAGACCTCTCCTGTCTCACTAACTGCTCCCCTCAGCAGTGTTTTTCAGTAGATCTGCCTATTCTGCCCCCCACTCCATCTCTGGTGAATACTCTTACCCCCACCCCCTGTGCCTATACCCCAGCTCTTGTATGCATAAATAAATAAAACAAATATTTTTAAAAAATAAACTTGCTGGTGCTGTATCTTTTAGTGATACTTTAGCAAGAGCATTGGAAAGAAGAAAAAAAGAGGAGGCTTCTCAGAGTGGAATTAGATTAAACTTGTTTAAAAGAATTTGCTTTCCAGACTGACCTTTCTCACACAAAGAAACTAACATCTTTTCACAAGTTATAATGGTATTCATATTCTCAGATGTTTTTTGAAGTCAGCAAAATAAATTTGTTCAATTGTTCATATATTTTAAAATATTTTTGTTTTGCTTGTGATTTCACACCACATATGCACTAACCTTCTGATATACTTTCCCATTAAATAGGTCGTCATGGAGATGGAGGTTATTGGCCAGTGGATACTAACTTGATTGACAGAAGCACTCTTAATGGTAGGTACAGAAATATCAGCTTTTATTTAGTTGATTATATTTTCTACATGTTTAATTTTATAGCATCTGAGACAAATTTCCTATAGACTACAAGTGCTAAAAACCCTGGATTTAGGGATAATTTGGCATAATAGAAACAAAGATCTTAACAAACCTGATGTATTTTCCAACAAAGATGACACCAGTGAGGGCTGACAAGTTCACAAAGTAATCAGTCAATAAAGTCCTAGCATAAGAATTTTATAAATGATGTCAAGCTATTACATATCTCTTTTTCAAAGTGTTGTTCATATTTAAAATATTTTAAAATATTAGAGAGAGGTAGTGTTTAATGTAGTTTGTACTGAATTTAAGTTGACATTGCTGGGACTTTTTGCCTGGAATGTATGTTTACTCTTCAAAATTCTCTAGCACCTTATTGCTAATTATCTTTCACATTGTCAAGATCAGGCATTTCTTTCTGTTCATCCCAGTGGCACATTTACGTATGTCTGTTGACTTTGATAATGACACGGTTGAGGGTATCTAGAGTAGTATCTAGAACCGAATGGAAGAAGCAGATCAGTGCTGGAACTGTCTTCTAGGATCTTCTGAAACAGAAACTTTGGGTGTATGGATGAATACTAGACAAATTCCCAAGGGACTGATACATATATAAATTCCTTTTACCGACATAAAAAAGAATTTTTGCTGTTATTTAGTTTGTTTTAGTAAAATGTTAGAGCATATACTCAGAATACAAATACGAATACCTGTACCCACCACCAAGGTTAAGATAAAAAAATACTTATCATACTGTTGAAATGTCTTATGTCTCTCTGCCTTATCAGATGCTTCTCTATCATTCCCTCCATACCTCACCATGATGTAACCATTCTTTCACATATAGTCTTTACTATGTAAACAGCATTATATCAATACACATGATTATGCCTTTCCAGAAATGGCATCATACTATATGTGTCCTGTTGCAACATCCCTTTCTCTGAATTTTGTTTCTTTAAATATTTATCCATGTGTTTACAAATAGTTCTCCTTGATTTATCTTTGTGTTGAAAAGTATTCTGTATTATGAAAACAATACTATGTGTTTAACCATTTTAGTAGATTTTCATGAGAAATTCGATTTCTGAATATATAATTATCCATTTGGATGATCATCTGTTAAGAAATCCATGTGGAACATCAAAATTGCAATCTAAAGGATTGCTTGCTAAGCAAGAGTAGAGAGTAAGATAGTGAGCTAATTTCCTATCATAAGCTGTGAGAATATAATGCATGCATGTCCCCAAAGAGGATATGTACCTCCTTGGAGTAGACCAGATGCTCCAGTCAAAGGCTCGTTGTTTGCCGCCTCTCCTCAGGGACCTATTTTTACTTGGTGATTCTTCTTTTCTACTTGCAGGCATGCCCCCTCCTCCTGTTAATGCATTTTACTTAACCAGACAAATACAAGTGCTTACATTTAAGCTTCCAAGTATGTTATAATCAAGCCAGGATGGTCTTTCCAGGCTGCTACAACCCTCAGCACCTCCTATTAGCTCTTACATAGATCCTCTTCCTTCAGTAAGCACTGTTACTGTGTCTTGTATCTATTTGAGTTTTAAATACATGTTATGGCTAGTGCCTGGTTCTGATGGTTTGTAGACTCCAATATATTGGAGACACTTTGGGGAGCTCACATCAGGAATAGGAATGGAGGGGTAAGTGTTAGGACTGAAAACAGACCACGTAAATGCTTCATAAAATGGGTTTAGATAACTGTAATTCCCACCCTCAAACTTTGCAAGTTTCATTAACTCATTCTCTTGTTTTAAATTTTATTTTAAGTCTCAACAATATGCCAAACTTACTTTAAGCTTTTAAGCAGTTAGGAAGTGCTACTAACCCTGCTTTGCATGCAGGACACATGCTAAGAGCTGTGGTCACAGATTGAAAAATAGAAGCAATAAACGAAGGAGAATTGTCCAGGTGGACAGGCAGGCTCTGCGCTCCAGGAAGATGAAAGACAGTGAGAAAAATCCCAGGGGTGTGAGAAAGCATTAAAGGAAATTGATGTTGACGTTGTTTGTGGAATCTTAACTGTAGTTGTCTGTACCCTGAGAGAGGTTCTGGGCTCGAATCCATGTGAGGAACTAACACTGTCCCCTTTAGAATTACCCTGAAGAGATGAGGGTAAAATGTTATTTCTATAGGAAGTTTCGAATTGGAATTCTTTCCCAGCTCAAGGCATGCCTATGTAAACTGGCACAGGTTAGTACTGTTTTGAACAAACAGAGTGACAGGAAATTAAAGAGGGAATTGAAAAAGAACAACTCACCCCTTGTCGTTTCAGCCACTACTGAGCAGGGTGAAGGGTGGTAAAGGTGGAGCAGGTGCAGGCTACAGATATAGAATTATGTATGTGTGGCCTGAAACTGAAAATATAGGAGGCCCAGTAAAATTTAATAATTTCTGATTGCCTGTGAGTATGAGGTAACAAAAGGATTTGTATCTCAACATATAGATGTGTCTCATTATTCATATGCATAGGACACTAGAAATAATTCAAATGTAACAGACCTCCTATATTTTTGTTAACTAAGTCTGGCAGTCCTAATTGAGGATCACATCTGAAAGCTTGATATGAATGACTTAGACTTGTCTTTCAAAATAAAATGAGTCACCAAGTGAAAAGAAAACCCAGCCCAAATACAACATCAATGGACAAGTCTCCAAGAATTTTCCTTTCACAGGAGTCAGACCTCAGATGAAGAGAATGACAGAAATTGAGAGAAACACTTGTCACTTTATTCTTTTTGCCATTTAATTTAGATTCCTATTGAGAAATATAATTTGAATTAAATTTGATTTGCTATGCATTATCTCACAGGAGAAAGTCAGGAAAATAACATAAAGGAATGGCATCCCATACCTTCAGATCCATTTGGATGGATTATTGACATTATTCCTCCTAAATTTTCTATATCACTTAATGATGTTTCAGGTATTTCTTATTAAATGAATGGGATGAGCAAAGTACCAGAAATATTTCTAGAATGCCTACTGGAATAAAATTTTTTACAGGCTGTTTGATTAAGTAAGGTGAATTGATAAACTCAGAGAGATATGGCTGGGGAGGGCAAATTTAATCTGCTTCCTATCCTATTTTGCTAGCAGATAAATGATGATAAATATGTAATTTGACTTTCACTTGGGATATCACAAGCAAATCAGCAAAGGCATCAGAAAACCTTAACTTCTTAATTAAAATTCTGCTAATGTCTTATATCTTAAGAAGAGGGTATGTTTTCCAATTAGATGTATGAGCAAAACCCTGACTGATAAAACTCCAACTCCATCCCACCTTTACAAAATGGACTGCATCAACAAGAACATTTTAAAATCTGAGTTTTGAACCTCATATCCAATGAAACATTCATGCATCTCCTCTTAGAGTGACAGAATTATAGAGGTTTCCTATCTCTCCCTCCATTTGCTGTATTCAGCCTTCATTGCATTATAATAGAATAATGGCTTATTGTCAGGACATTCAAGCCAGTTGCAAATAAATTTAGACCTCTCTAATCACTTACTTTCTCTTACAGCATGTCACTCTTCTAAAAATATATTCTTAGGATTCTAATAAAGAAAAAACAAAGCTATAGTTCATGTTTACTCTTGTAGTTGGAAACCCTTAATTAAATTGAAGAAACTGAAGAGGCTTCCTAAATTATTTTCTGATGGCAGGTAGATCAAACCAAATATGTAAGGATGTGTAAGTATTTTACATTTATGATGCATTCACTTTGGGATTATGGTCCACATTCTCAAAGCAGGAAGACCCTCAACTCTAAAATATGTGATTTTTGTATTTTATTTTTATATGAATGATGAAGCAACATGAAACTTACTTCAATTAAGTTCTGCTTTTCTCACTGGGGGATATAAATTATCAATATATTTTGTTGGTAGTTCTTCCAATAATTTGCAAAATTAATAATTTTGGTTAAGAAATCTACCAACCCTGCAAAGATGTTATTTTGTTGATCTAGATCTTTGAAAGCTATACCTGGACAAAGCATTATCATAAAAGTCGATACTATTAACTTTTTGAATATTCAGAATCATATTAGTTATTCTATAAAACATGACATGTGATCTATGCTTAGGAGAAAAGGCCATGACTAGCTTTGTAATTTTGAAAAACAAAACTTAGACATTTTAACTCAACTAAATAAAGCAAACATACAAGCTTTGTCCATATTTGCATGAAATGATTATTCTGAGACTTGGCAAACTATTAAGACACTCAGAAGTGTCACTAAATATCAAAAGAAAGGTCCCAAATAATATTTTATACTTGTTTATGAGGGAAAGATGATTGGAGTAACTGGGGATCCCAAGTTCTAGGGTCTGCCAGGGGCTCTGCTCACCTACCATCTCAAATGTTTTTAAAGATTCCAGACTAATCTCGACTCCAGGTTGAGAACTGACTTTGTCAGGGATTAGTACTGTCAGACCTTAATCAAGTCAGTTAAACTGTGGATCTCAGCTTTTCACTGGAACATAAGAAGTATTCAGCTAGCTCAGGGTTTTGCAACCTCAGTGCTTTTGCCATTTGAGGTGAGAAAATGTGATTTGTTTCACACATTGTAAGGTGTTTAGCAGCATCTCTGGCCTTTACTCACTAGATGCCAATGGAATTTCTCCTTCCCCATGTCAGAATCACCCAGAATGTCTTTAGACATTACCAAATTTCCTCCTGGGGGAAAAAAAAATCTTCCCAACTGAAAATCACTGATCTGAATTACCATTCCATGAAAGGTTGTTCTGGGATACACCAGTCTCGGGAGAAACTCTTTGAGGGAAAAAAAAAAATGTGTGTCTTTTCAAATTACCATTGAGCAACTCATTGGACACTCATTTCTCTTTCTCCAGGTCCTCCCTCCCCTTCTACCTGAACACTAGACATCTCAGTCTTGAGAATTTTTCTCTGCTCCTTCTATTCTCTTGATCTC